TTAAGCTAAACCATGCTAGCAACATGTACTATCTAACTCATGTTAGCAAATGTTGAGAAAGAAATGTTAATGTTAAAACAAGATAGAAACATGATAGCAACATAGAAACATAATAGAAACATTAATAAACATGCAAATTCATGTTAAGGACACGTTTGCATGTTACACACATTAGCAAGATGTTCATTCATACTGTAAACTAAACCATGCTAGCAACATGTACTACATGCTAGCAAAAATCTAACTCATGTTAGCAATGTTAGTAAAAGTTGAGAAAGAAATGTTAATGAGATTGATAGCAAGACATGATGGCAACATGCTAAAACAATTGAACTTTTATTAGAGTAAATTCCCCTCCGTCTTCAACAACATGTCTTCTTCCTAGTGGACAAAATGAAGTCTCGCCCTACATTTTACATTTACGTTCTTGTTTAACAGTATGCTGACTCGAAGGAAGCCCAGAATAATTATGCTCCATCACAGTGTAGTTTCCCTGGCCACTATTGCCTATTTAGCATTCAGTCTTTGTGTTTGCCTCAGTGCTCCCCTGATATCTTATTTTCAATGGCCAGTAATGATATCTAAAGGGATGTGGCTGTGTTATTATGCTTTATTCACACAAAAGCAGAACACAGCTGTCAGCTCATTATGGGTTTGTGGACAAACTGTTTACTTGTATAGAGAGAGACAACCTCATACTGCAAATGATGTGTATGCTCTGAATGTTCAAGACAGTGAGAGTGATTTGAAGTGTTTAGTTGATGTGTGCTGCCTGAATAGAGCAACAGTCAACAGTTAGTTGTTTGACAAGTCATTGACTTGTGGATGACAGGCATGTGTGCTTGGCTTGTTTGTTTTTTCTTGTCTGTCATTAGACTTTTACTTTAAATGTCAATTTATGACATAAATTAGTTATCAGAAGGATTTCTGATGGATCATATGCTGATGATATATTATTATATTCAGACAAATATTCAGGTTTTATTTTTTTTGTTTTTTGCTGGAATAAATAATATTTATTCAAAAACAAGATTTATTCAAATACATTTTTCTGTTTCATCTACACTGTATTATTTATGTTTCTTTTAAAACAATTTTAAAGAGTATGTTGTCTAAATATATTTAATTTATTTTTAATTCAGTTAATTGTTAAAGTTAACATCCCTAGTTGAAAGCCCTGGTTTTGTTTAATGGTCTCATGATAATTAATATAGGCCTTATATTAATTTTGAAATTATTGTAAAGTTTTAAGGACTAGTTTACCCTCTTAGGACTAAGTGGCCAAATACGTGGACAGCACATTTTAGCTCTTAAGTGGCTATTTAAAATACTTTGAATGTTTTATATTGATACAGATATACAGTGTCATCCTGCAACTGTTTTGCAGTGTATGAAATGTCCCAAACACTATTTTTAATAGTTTTTTACTCTCTCATAGTCAAAACATGTTTTAAAACAAAAGATATGTTCTATATGCATTAAAAACAGTTAAGAAATAGTGTTTTATATAAATTCGGACCATGAGTCCACATACAGTTGAAGTCAGAACTATTAGCCCCCTTTGAATTTTTTTCTTCTTTTTAAAATATTTTCCAAATGATGTTTAACAGAGAAATAAAATTTTCACAGTATGTCTGATAATATTTTTTCTTCTGGAAAAGGTCTATTTGTTTTATTTTGCATAGAATAAAAGCAGTTTTAAATTTTTTAAACATCATTTTAGGGACAAAATTATTAGCTCCTTTAAGCTATATTTTTCCTCGACAGTCTACAGAACAAACCATCGTTGCACAATAACTTGCCTAATTACCCTAACCTACCGAGTTAACCTGATTAACCTAGTTAAACCAGTAAATGTCACTTTAAGCTGTATTGAAGTGTCTTGAAAAATATCTAGTCAAATATTATTTACTGCCATCATGGCAAAGATAAAATAAATCAATTATTGGAAATGAGTTATTAAAAATATTATGTTTAGAAATGTGTTGAACAAAATCTTCTGTCCGTTAAACAGAAATTGGGGAAAAAATAAACAAGCGGTCTGATAATTCAGGGGGGCAGATAATTCTGAATTCAACTGTATATGGACATCAATTTTCTCTAAAAGTACATCATATCAAAAGATGATACTTATTCTAATAAAATTCCAACAAGCCCAAATAGCAAAAAGAAATAAAAAAATACATGTAAAAAAAAATACTTTGGGCCTTAAGAGGATAAAGATTCCAATAACTTTGAGGAACTACACTAGAGTAGTATTAAACTCAACAATACTGCATTTATTGGTTTAAAAAATCCACTACATACACACTGAAAAAAATGCAGGATATAATAATAAAATATTGCACTATTATATAATATAATTGTAGAATAATACAATCATTTTTACATTATTTTTTTTTTTTTGCATTTTAATTCATTGAAATATTTATTTCTGAAGTGACACCGCCAAATTTTCAGAAGTCATTATCATTTACTCTCAACAAAACGAAATTAATTGGTATATCTGTTTGTTGCTCTTTAACTCTTTCTGTTCTGTTTGTGTTGTACATCTAAAGATCAAATCTGAAGGCAAAAGTCATGTAGTTTGCAATTGCCACTATGTTCAGTCAAATTAACAAGAACCATCTCTACCCTGTTATGACAGCAGGTCGTAGCAGCTCACTAGCTTCTCTGCACAAGTTAATAGCTGTATTCTTGTCTTTCCCAAGCACTGTATTTTCTAGCTCATTACTGGTGTCATAGTATATAAGTATAAAAGTGATCCTCGGGAGCTTCACATTTCTGTTTGTGTTTAAGTGCATGAGGTTAATTACTGAAGCACCTGAAATCACAGACCTGAAGCACCTGTCATATCTGCTGGTGAGACGGGTTGTATAACATGCAAAATTTAGCCGCAGAGGATTGAAGATGTGCAGTCATACACTAGTTCATTCACACAGGGTTTTGTTTTCATATTGAGAGAGGGAGCATGGTCATTTACTGTATTTATCACAAATGCTCGTAAAGAGATGGTTTCATGCTTTTTAATTTTATTGGTGAACACAAAAGAAGATATTTTGAAAAGTGTTTGAATCCGGTAACCATTGACTTCCGTTTTAGGAAAAACACTACTATGGAAGTCAATGGTTACCGTTTTTCAAAATTTTTCATTCATTTTCTTTTCGGCTTAGTTCCTTCATTAATCTGGGGTCACCACAACGGAATGAACCGCCAACTTATCCAGCATATGTTTTACACAGCAGATGGCCTTCCAGCTGCAACCCATCACTGGGAGACATCAATAAACAGTCATTCACACACATACATGGACAATGTACCTTACTCAATTCACCTGTACCACATGTCTTTGGACTGTGGGGGGAACCGGAGCACCCAGAGGAAACCCACACGAACACAGTGAGAACATGCAAAATCCACACAGAAATGCCAACTGACACAGCTGATGCTCGAACCAGCAACCTTCTTGCTGTGAGGCGATCGTGCTACCCACTGCGCCTCCGTGACGCCCCTCAACATTTTTCAAAGTAGCTTATTTTGTGTTCAACAGAAAAAAAGCAGGTTTGTGTACAGCTATGGAAAAAAAAGTGATCATATGAAGATGTTCTTGATTTAAAAGTCATTTAAAGATCCTGTAATATTGTGAAATATTATTTGTAATCTTTTTAATCTATTTATTTATTTCTGAAATGATAAAGCTGGCTTTTCGAAAATCATTACTCCTGCCTTGACTGATATGGAATACTAAAAAAACTCAACAATGTAAGAAAAGAAGTAAGGGTAATATTCATTAAATAATTCATTTTTTTTTCGGCTTAGTCCCTTTATTATTCTGGGGTCGCCACAGCGGAATGAACCACCAACTTATCCAGCACATGTTTTATGCAGCGGATGCCCTTTCAGCTGCAACTCATCACTGGGAAAAAGAAAAAGTAATATTTTAATATAATATAATTTATTGCTGATTCTTTTCTCTTTGATATTACACGTGATGATAATTCACGTGAATGTTTTTGTGTTTAAATTAGGGCTGCACAGTATATCATTTCAGCATCGACATCTCGATGTGCAAATTCATATTAGTCCAAACGCATGATCTGCGATGTCAGTTGAGTTGCAGTTTGTTTATCCCTTAAGAAATCTGAGTGGTGTTGACAAAGAATTCAGAACATTATGGGGTCATTGTAAAGTTTAACCATAATAGAGGAAAAGTTTTTAATTGGATTGTTTTGTTTTAAGTGATTTTTAAACCACTTGTCTATAGGGGATTATAACATTTGTAGTTTACACAATAATTAATTGTATTTTTTTTCACGATTAAGACTAAAATGTTTAACAAATCAAATATTAGAACATTTGATTATTCAAGTTTTGTACTTGTATACCATTAGACTTTCCAGAAACCATAAAACATTTTGTTTGTCTTTGCTTTGAGTTTTTTTTTTTCTTTTTTTAAATATTTCCCAAATTATGTTTAACAGGGCAAGGAAATTTTCACAGTATGTCTGATAATATTTTTTCTTCTGGAGAAAGTCTTATTTGTTTTATTTCAGCTAGAATATAAGCTGTTTTTTTTTTTAAGGTCAAAATTATTAGCTCTCTTAAGCTATTTTTTTTCTACAGAACAAACCATCATTATACAATAACTTGCCTAATTACCCTAACCTGCCTAGTTAAGCTAATTAACCTAGTTAAGCTTTAAAATGTCACTTTAAGCTGTATAGAAGTGTCTTGAAAAATATCTAGTCAAATATTTTGTACTGTCATCATGGCAAAGATAAAATAAGTGATTAGAAATGAGTTATTAAAACTATTATGTTTAGAAATGTGTTGAAAAAATCTACTCTCCATTAAACAGAAATTAGGGGGAAAAAACTGTGGGCTTCAACTGTATATTACAGGAAAAAACAAAATATTGCATTGTTCAGCTTTAGGTTAAATGTAGTATGTCTTTCATATTTAATAAACCTCCTGCATCTTTTTTGCTCTCTGTCTTGCAGTCTGAGCGAGAGTTTCTTCATGGTGAAGGGAGCCGCTCTGTTTCTGCAGCAGGGCAGTTGTCCACAGGCTCAGAGAGCTCATCCTCACCACAAACATGCAGGTGAGTCTATTCATGCACATCATAACATCCACTTGTATATATGGTTTGCGAGGACTCTCTTTAGGCATACTGTTTTTATACTGTAAAAACCGCTTATTATATGGCCTACCCCTAAACCCAACCCTTACTGGAAACCTGGGTCAAATTTAAAATAAAGTATAACTGTTCAGCATTTTGAATTATGAGGACACAAGCCATGTCCTCGTAAACCACCATAATAGACTACAATTAGGTCAAACCTGTCATTCTACAATTTTGTCCCCGTAAACCACATAAACAAGTACACACACAAAACATCCTCTGAGAAGTAGTACATGTCATGTACCAGTATGTGTTTATTGTGTATTTCATATTAAAGCATGGTGTCAACAACACCTGACATGTAATAATAATATTATACACTTGTTAGAAAAGCACATTTGACAGTAGCTTGAGTTGAAAGTAGCAGGTGAATCTATCAAGCTAAATGTATGTGGCCGCAGTGCACTTCACTCTTATGTCTACATCTACTCTAATCAGGATAAACTAAATAAGTTTTGTCTAATAACGCTTCATGTCCACACTACCGTTTTCTATTCTTTTCGTCAGCCACACTAAAACAACTGAAATGCTTATGTTCAGTACTTGTGAATGTGCACAGACGTGAGACCATTTTACTTGCGTCATATCCGCCTGGCGTTTATTTACTTTCTGTCTCTTTGAAACATTGTGGCGAAATCATGGCTGAAAAAAAGCTCCCAGTAAACATTCCATGTCATTTAACGGAAGGCAATGTTGAACATACACTGACATTAAACTTTAACAAAGCTGTTAAAATGGAACACATCCAAAACAGCTAATTTGATTTGGTCACAGCCATAATCATCCTGCAGCCCAAGACTGGTTACTCACTGAATCTAAGTAGGGCTGAGCTTGGTCAGTACCTGGATAGGAGACCACATGGGAAAACTAGGTTGCTGTTGGAAATGGTGTTAGTGAGGCCAGCAAAGGGTGCTCAACCTGCGATCTGTGTGAGTCCTAATACCCCAATAAAGTGAAGGGGACACTATACTGTTAGTGGGCGGCATCTTTAGGATGAGACATTAAACCGAGGTCCTGAATCTCTGTGATCATTAAAAATCCCATGGCATTTCTCATAAAGAGTAGGGATGTAACTCCGGTGTCCTGGCCAAAGTCCCTTCATCGGCCTTTACCCTTCATGGCCACCCAATCATTCCCATCCACTGAATTAGCTCTATCACTGTCTCTCCACTCCACTTATAGCTGGTGTGTGGTGAACGCACTTTCGCCGTTGTCCTGAGGCGGCTGTCACATCACCAAAGTGGATGCTGCACACTGGTTGTGGTGTGAAGAGAGACCCCACCCTCATCATTGTAAAGCGCTTTGGGTGTATGGGCATACACGATAAATGCGCTATATAATACACACATTACCTTACATCTGCTTTACTATGTTAGCTGAATTGATCACTAAAATGCCTCATTGTTTTGGCCATGATTGTTTTTGAAAGCCTTTGTTTTTACAGTCTATACTGCAACACGAAAACGGCATTTTCAAATATAGCCACCTTTTACTGCAATTTCAGAAAAGATCCATTTTCATTTCCTAAAAATGCTGTCTCAGTGTGGACGAAAGGCCAACACAGAAAAAATTATGCTTTTTTTAATAATAATTATTATTATTATTATTTTTACCTTTTTATGGGGATAGAATAGGATAGTGAAGGACAGGCAGGAAAGCATTGGGAGCAGAGAGAATGGAAGGGTCAGCATGGAACTCAGGTCACCGTGAGCACTATGGTGCTACAGTATATGTCGGCACACTTAACCACTAGGCTAGGGATGCCGACAAAGTTTATGCATGTTTAACAAAAGTACTAGTGTGGACATGGCCCATGTTTACCTTTGAAAACACTATTGTTTGGGCTGAAGGAAGAGATTTGGCAATAGATTTCCTTGTCTAGGTGGTCTATATGACAAGCTACATGATACACAGTGTGTATGTGAAATGTAGATCCATAACATGTTTCAGATTTGCAACAAATGTATCCAGAGTAACGTATTTTGAAAAAATTTTAGCTGATGCACATTTTCAATGAGCCTGAGCTGGTTCCATTGGTGGAGAATATGCTGAAGACGTCTGCAACGATCTCAAACAGCACTGTTTATTGCGCATGTAACAACTAATCCAGAGAAACACATTAACTAAAAACTCACTTGACTCTGACTTCTCATCTGAATCTTGATGATAAAGCTCTATTTGAGTTTAGCTGTGTATCTAAATGTAACAAAATGCCACTGCTTATAAGTTTTGCTCATTAGCAAAAATTGGTAGTGGCACCTGTGCAATCTCTTAAGAAAATAAAGTGGTTATGGCAGAGAAAAAAGTGAATTTCCTCACAGTCTGGAGTTCTGGTTAAGTGTATGTGTTTGGTGGAAATGGTGGTTACTGTAGTAATTTGGTGTGGTTCACTGTGTTTACTGCCGTCTGCTTCTGCCCTGAGACAGAACCTCAGGAATTGGGCAGCAGATGCTGTCGGGCTGATGGACAGACTCGCTGCTGGATAAGCATGTTCCAGACAGGTGTATGTGTGTGTGTGTGTGTTGGTGTGTGTGTGAGTGTGTTTGTGTGTGGATTAGCCAGATTAGAAGTTCAGCTCAGCACGTTGGGACTGTAAGAACATCACTTCTTAAGGGCAGGATTTTCCTCATGCTTTTAAGAGGTTTAGGATGCATATGTTTATAATATAAAATACTGAAATTTAAATAATAAAAGTGTTTGTATATATTATTTTAAATGTTGATTGTATATTATTACTGCATTTATTATTTATATAATTATTTATAAGTCAAATATTTTATATTATTATTTTTATTAATAGAATATGAGTAGTTAATAATAATAATAATAATAATAATTATTATTATTATTATTATTATTAAAATCATAACATTTAAAAAAAAAAATTCTAGGACAATTTGTACAGCCACTTTTTTAAACATGCTTTTACGTGCATTTAATATATTCATTATTGGTCAATGTAAGCAATAAAACAATTATTACAGAACAACAGAAATTGTTTTTGGATTTTAGGTGTGAGGACAGGATTAACAAACCACATTCGATGTCTGTAGATGTTTTAAAAAAGTTGAAGCCACTGCAATAAAAACCAGCATTTGTGCAACTGATCTGACACATTTAATCAATCAGCCAAGGAATGTCTCTTCACATTAACAATGTAAACTCAACTGCGCAACAGCAGATGTCCCAGCCGTCATGCATCCAGTGTCTTTTAACACATGTGACACTCCGAATTGATTAAACATGCCAGTTAAAGGGACGTGTTTACTGTTCAACAGAAGGGTGTACACTTGCTGCGGGGCGATTTCAGTTTATGAGAGAAACTAAACACCATGCAGACACAACAAGCTTAAGGCTTGAAGAGCAGACTCACCTCATGCTTTAAGACAGCTCGTCATATCACAGCAGGTTTACAGAGACTTTTTTTCACCTGATTTTAGATATCATGAAGCATCTTTTTTGCTATATGGCTAATATTACTCTGCCATCTACAGCTATCTTTTCACGTTCAAGTCAGGTTTCCATCCAAAAATTGGGATATTACATAAATTTGACGTCTAAAGTAAATATAAAATTTTTTGCTCAATTCATTTTTAAATTGAGGTTAAATAAGTGCTGTATGAGTTGACAATTAATCCAAACCAGATCAGTTTTGACCCAAATCATCTTGATGAACGGACTTTATTTTTCATAAAATATCAGATGATTAAGTTTTCCGGTTTGTCCAGTTAGTCTGTTTTTCTGCATTTATTATGTCTGAGTTTTAAGTTAAAATATAATTGATTAATTAATTATTATTATTTTATTTTTTTAAGTGAACTTGTAAAACTGTGGTGTTAAATGCAATGTGGTCAAAAATTGAATTGAAATTTGGGTGCACCTAACTTTTGTTCTAGTGCACCTTAGAAAAAAATGTGGCCGCCACCAGTGCAAAAAGTTAGTCTACAGCCCTGCAAACTAATATTAACCTTTAATAAACCTGTTAAAAATGAAAAGGTTCCAAAACATCTGCTTCACAATGTCGTCCTCAATGTCAGCTGAATTGGTCACATGACTGCATCACACAGGGGCAGACTGGCACATCCTCTGTTTCTCAACACAAAAATTCAGCCCTGGCACTGTAGCCACACAAACTACCACACCGACACAAATTACCACACCGACACAGCCCCACCCACGGACACGCACATTTCTGCATTTATTATGTCTGAGTTTTAAGTTAAAATATAATTGATTAATTAATTATTATTATTTTATTTTTTTAAGTGAACTTGTAAAACTGTGGTGTTAAATGCAATGTGGTCAAAAATTGAATTGAAATTTGGGTGCACCTAACTTTTGTTCTAGTGCACCTTAGAAAAAAATGTGGCCGCCACCAGTGCAAAAAGTTAGTCTACAGCCCTGCAAACTAATATTAACCTTTAATAAACCTGTTAAAAATGAAAAGGTTCCAAAACATCTGCTTCACAATGTCGTCCTCAATGTCAGCTGAATTGGTCACATGACTGCATCACACAGGGGCAGACTGGCACATCCTCTGTTTCTCAACACAAAAATTCAGCCCTGGCACTGTAGCCACACAAACTACCACACCGACACAAATTACCACACCGACACAGCCCCACCCACGGACACGCACATTCACTATTAATTTTGGTGTACAGATGGTGAAATAATATGACATTCTTGCCAGATTTTGATTATGTCCAGGTAACCTCGGATTGGGTCGGCCCATCTTGAAACCAGGCAGCAATTGCCGATTGGGCCAAATGCTTAACATTAATAATTATTATTATTATCACCAACAAAATAGCATCTAGCAAGAGATAAAAGCTGTCTGCACTTAAAAACAATACATATTACAAAAAAAAAAAAAAAAAACTGACCGGCCCACATTTAAAAATTGGTCCGGCCCTTCT